AGACTGAAGTGCCTGTAAGGACTTAACAAGCTCTTGGTTAGAGATTGACATGAGAATTTCTTCCCCGAGCTTCAGGAGAAGAGGTGGGGCCCAACCATACATTGCCTCGAAGGGTGTGATCCCTTGAACACAGGGAGTACAGCGGGCCCGCAAGAGGGCAAAAGGAAGGAGACTCACCCAGTTTTCGCCAGTTTCTAACCCTATCTTGGCAATAGCCTCCTTTAAAGTTCGGTTCATCCTTTCTACCTGGCCAGAACTTTGTGGCCGATAGGCACAGTGTAACTTCCAATGCATGTGTAAAGCCTGTGAAACAAGTTTGGTAATCTGGGCTATAAAAGCCAGACCGTTATCAGACTCCAGAGCTAAGGGAAGACCAAATCTCAGGACTATCTCAGATAGGAGTTTTTTAACAACTATCAAGGCAGACTCAGACTGTGTGGCAAAGGCTTCTGGCCATCCTGTGAAAGTGTCCACCAGTACTAGCAGATACCTGAGTCCCTTTGGTCCAGGTTTCATCTCCGTGAAATCTATTTCCCAATGTTCCCCAGGTGACATACCTCTGGCTTGATGGTGGATCTCTGGTAGACTTCTTTTCAGATTTACCTAAGCGCACTGTGGGCACCTGTGACTTATGTCCTTGGCCAGTTGGTTTAGTTTCGGAATGAAATATGATTTTCTCAACAGTTCAGACAATTTATTTCCTCCCAAGTGAGTACTGTGGTGAAGTAAATATACCAGTTCACGGCCAAGTGCCTCAGGTAGGAGAATCCGGGAGTCTGGCAATTTTTGCCAACCAGTAGAAGTTGGGGAGGCCCGAACACTTTGTGCCAATAGGAGGTCTGAATCTGAATAAGATGGTTTGTCTAGAATCCGGGGTGGCAGAACCAGCAGGATCTCTAGTGGCCCCACTGGTTTTCTTGCCACTTCTCGGGCTGTAGAATCCACCAGGGTATTTCCTCAGGCCACCGGGGAGTCATCCTTTTGGTGTCCTCGACAGTGTATAACCGCTACTTGTCAAGGCAACCAGACTGCAGCCAATAAGTCTAAAATTTCTTGAGTGTTTTTAATCTTTTGTCCTCCCGTGGTTAGGAGTCCCCTTTCTTGATATATGGCCCCATGTACATGAAGGGTGGCAAAGGCATATCTA